AAATTTTCAAATGCTTTTGAAAACAGTCATAATTGTATAGGTAAAAGGTCTGCATCACGAATCGTATACTAATGCACACAAATAATAACCTTAATAAGATGCAGGAAATGAATAAAGTTGCTGTTGATGAAGTTCAACTAAGGAGTTAAGTTCTGAGGAAGTGTTGGCTATTGTAAAGGAAGAAAGATAAAAGCAAAGAGAGAGGAAGAAAGAAACATGGCTCATGGTCTTATGTGAAGTCCTCGTAATTACACTTTGTCTAATAAACTATATGGGAACCAAAGAATATGTCAGCTTGTGTGTGAATTGTAGTCAGCCGGGAGCACACCATGCTACAGATTGGTATTTGTAAGCCTTCCTTAGTTCCATATGTCCTAACGTCTCAAATTTTACCATGTCAGTGTCTCCGTTTCTCATGAAATCTTTCTCATTTTGTTTTCCCTAAACCTTTGACTACAAAATGCATGCCATTAAATATGAGACTTTTTATAATCAGGATAATTTATTGTTATAGCCAAAATAAATTATAAAAAAAGACTCATGTTTGTCAAGTTTAGCCTTCAAACATTCTTGTTGCTGCTGTGGGTCCATGTAAATCGACTGAAAAATAACATGAAGCACACTATGTCATGTGGAGACAGTTTAAAGGGACAGTTCAAGCATGAGCACCCTCTTCTTTAACTCCGCATTTTGTTCTGTTTGCTTTAAATCCGCATAATTTACAATTCACACCTCCAGCTGCCACCAGACCAGGAAATGGCTGAAACCTCTCAAGTACTGTTGATGTTCCTAGATCATTCTAAGTAAATGTTGTACATGTCACATCATAAACATGAACATCGTAATAAAGCAAAAGATGGCAGGTCGAGTAGTTTTTTTAATGTCTCTAGAACCCTGACTGGCATTATTTTCAAATAATGCATTCTTTGTTGTTATATATCTTTAACATTACTTGACATGTTTAGGTTAGGTTAGTATAAGTGTTAGGGGTTAATGGTTAGTTTTAGGGTACTGCTGGGGTTAATGTTTAATGATAAGGGTTAATAATTACTGTTAGTGTAGTGGTTAATGTTTAGTGTAAGTATAATGCAGGGGTTAATATTTAATGTAGTGTAGGGATTAATGGCACGTTTTATTAAATATATGAAACCAGGGGGCTGCACTCAACTGAACATGCATAAATGGGTTGCTGCTGGGGCCAATTATTTGGGAGTCAGGCCAACGCCTTAGTTTTGCACCCCTCCCTGTCACAGGTGCCTCATTCCATGGCCCTATTTAGCCTTATACTGCAGAGAGCACCAGATGGACCCCCCACCAAGATGGGGTACATTGACATTATGGCAGGCTTATGCAATGTATGATCATATACTGTAACTAAACCCCCATTATTTTTGCCTAGATTAGGTGTTTAAAAAAAACTAAAAATAAATATGTGAGATTTGAAGTTGCTGTTTAGTGGATGAGTAAGTGTGCTGAATATTGTGTATTGTTTATGTCTGTGTATCACTGTACTGATTGTATATGTATATATCCTTGAGGGTCGAAACATCCATTTGATGCAGATATAATTGTATATTTTTCTATTGAAACCACATAGCCACTTTGAAGTCCTGTGAGTGCACCTCTTTTTTCTAATTGCTTATATATATATATATATATATATCTATATATATATATATATATATACAGTGTGACATATAAAAATAAAGAATAAACAATGATAAGTGTCAGCTAAAATGACTAGGATTATAAATGGATAGATTTAAAAAAATGAAAAACCAACACGTATCAGTTCTATACTATTAATATGTATTAGTTTTATCATTCTTCAGTGTTGGGATTGCATATATTCATACCCCCAAGCATTGCAATGTTCCCTTTTTATTATTAACATTAGAACATAAATAATCAATGTGTCTTTTCCTCTCCACCAGAGCAAGGATTGTCATATTATATAAGTTTAGACTTCAATTTCAACTTAAATTTTACTGGTTCACAACTTTTTTTTATTTTTTATTAAGAGCTGGGTAAATGTTCAACATGGGCACATTGTGGCTCTATTATAATGTGACATTCTACTGCACAAAACTTACAAAGAAAAGACGTTATAATATACCATAGGTTAGAAGAAATGCTTGAATTTACAATTTTGCTATTTTTTTTCCATTTTACAAAAAGTGCAGGTTTCATTAGAAATGTACACTTTAATAAATTAACTTGGTTACACTCCCCTGGCTTTTCAATCAGATAACCGGTCATGTGACTTCCTGGTTTGATTAGCTCAGTGGAACTAAACTCAAAGGCACCTTGTTTTCAGGATGATGTAAGTATATGTGAAAAAAGACAAAATAAGTAAGTAGGTAGGACATTTTCCTCCATCAACAATTGTTTCTAAATACTATACCATTGGATTTCCTATTTTGTCTTTTTTCACATATACCTACATCATCCTAAAAAACTAGCTCCAAAGACCCTCCACTTATATCCATAGACAGGGATTATTCCGTCCAGGCCTTCATAATACAGCTGAGACAGCTCTAAAAAGTGTGAGTGCACACTTTTACCTATTTGTACTCCCTTCACAAACATCTCCTGTACTGCACCATAATCTGTTTCTTGCTTTGTACTTATAGATTCATATACTAAGAACATCATCTGTATTGTATGTATATATAATCGTAAGCACTAATCAACTCCTGCCTGTTATCTATAGTTACTGTATGTTCAAAATACATTCTTGCAATCTTTACAAGTTACTAAAATTGCTCACAGATTGCTTTTAACTATAAGCAGGGTATTTGTATATGTTTACATATTTAATCACACCTACTATATGTGTGCTTTGCTTCTGTTTAGCATTTTGCAAGGATGGATGTAGAAATGGAGGAACCTGCATTGCCCCCAATGTGTGCGCATGTCCACAGGGCTTCACTGGGTCCAGCTGTGAGACAGGTATGTCCTTGATATGTATTATTTTGTACCACCTATAAAAAACGATATATCTACTGGTTTGGCCACTCTTCCGATATCTTCGAGGCCAAGTCAAAAACCTTTGAAAAAAAAATGAATAGACAAACTCTTGCTACATAAATATGTAATTTTTAAGAAAAAATTTGTTTTTTGTTCAGTTGACAAAGTAAAATCTAGGCTGGGGATAATAAGTAAAAAAAATAAAAATAAAACTTATTTAGAAAGGCACTGCAAAAGAGAATATGTTGGTTAAAATTTCAGATTAAAAAATTAATATAGTATTTCAGTGACTGCTTTATAAATAATGATAAGTTGAAACATTAAAATCCTCATATAAAATACACAATTATTCACAGTATCATTTGTTAGAAATAGTGTATTGTTTTATTGGATTAAAATGCCCCCCCAAATTTGAACTCTTGGCATCTATTCTTCTTTTGTGTTGGTAATATTTTGCTTTCAAGTCATGTCTTGTTTTCTATTTAGAAGATATTTAAATATTTCCAGAATATAAAAACAAACCCTGGAGATTTGTATGTAAAACATGTAGAATATTTGTTGTGGAAATAGATGAGGAATTAAAGAATAATGGTTTTTACGACAATGATCCCCAAAGTGAGATCAGCATTTAATAGATTTTTTAAAAATATATATTTATTTGAGATTCTGTACTTATTATTTATATACTATAAATTAAAAATTTATCTCCCTTCCTAAATAAAAATGAGATATTATGAGAAGTAATTATATAGCCAATTATAGGCAGATAAAATCTGTTTAGATTAGAATGGCCAATTCAGGAATAGGCAAGAATTCATAACACTAATGGGAACACATGGAGGTAAAAAAATGGAAAAGGGGCTAGACTGGTGGACAAACTTGCACAGCATATCACACTACTGCTTGTTTTCACAAGACATTGTACCTGTATCTGGAATATAAATGTATAGTCGGAAATATGGTTTGCATATTGTGGGCCACTGACTGAAAAAGAAATATATATATATTTTTTATTTACTGAATGATATATATTGTTTTACTGCATTTTTATTTTACTGATAGTCAAACTTTTAAAGAATTATCAAAAAATATTTATAGCTTTGAAAATTTTTATTAATACATCATATGCACAACCTGTACGTATCCAAATGCCACCATTTCAAAATATCATGATTTTTTTTATACATGTTGCACTAGTACCTACATTGCTTTACAGAAAATTATAATAACATATTCATGATTTGTAAACATTTACTCACATTTGTCAACCTTAATTGTAATGTATTCTCTAGAATACATGTTTGGCAGACCAGCTAGCAATCTCTTTAGTGGGTATGTTTTAAATCAATAAAGTTGATAGACAACAAACAATCAGGGTTATTTACAAAAGTGAAAATTGTCAAGAATCCAAACTAAATTTAAATAGACACTATAGTCACCAGAACAACTACAGTTTAATGTAGTCGTTCTGATGTCTATAGTCTGTCCTGTAGTCATTTTAATGTAATTACTGATGTTTCGGAGAAAAGGCAGTATTTGCATAAATGCTTAGGGACACCTATAGTGGCAGTCACTCAGACTGCCACTAGAGGTGCCATCTGTGTGAGTGCTGCACAATGTGAACTGATCTGAACTCAGATAAAGAAGTATAGCGTGTTTGGGATCAGCCACAAGGAGACCTGTGCCTCACTAGAAAAAAGTAAGTAAAACACATTTTTCACAGGGGCATCAAGGGTGGTTGGAAAACTAAATAGTGTTATACACCTGTAGTGTCAGGAATACACATTTGTATTCCTGACACTATAGTGTTCCATTAAATTTAAGACCACAGTAGTTGCGCTGGTAGTATAGCTAACTTGGATTATTATTTAAGTTTTGCTATTTAGACTTTAAATGTGAAATTCACCTTAAACTCCCGACAAGCCTCACTTTAGTGAATAACTCTGAATAGTGATGTCCCGAACGATTCGCCGAACGGTTCGCCGCGGACTCATCATTGAGTAAACTTTGACCCTGTACCTCACAGTCAGCAGACACATTCCAGCCAATCAGCAGCAGACCCTCCCTCCCAGACCCTCCCACCTCTTGGACAGCATCCCATTTTGAAGCTGCATTCTTAGTGAGCTGTCCAGGAGGTGGAGGGTCTGGGAGGGAGGGTCTGCTGCTGATTGGCTGGAATGTGTCTGCTGACTGTGAGGTACAGGGTCAAAGTTTACTCAATGATGAGTCCGTGGCGAACCGTTTGCGAACCATTCGGCGAAATTCGGGACATCACTAACTCTGAATAAATTGGTTAAGCTCTCAATGGTCTATGGTTTTATAAGAAACATTGCTTGTGGTGTATGGTGTGGGGGTTTAGAAGTGAATAAACACAGTTTTTTGTTTGGTAGTATGGTGACCACAGCATCTGCTTTTATTTTCTTATTTTTTTGCATAATTTCAACAGCATTTTCTCCTTATCTATTGTGGTTTTCTTTTTGTTGTTGTATGTGTCCATATAGATAAAGTATATATTTTATTCACTTAATTCTGTGAATTATTTTGATGTGGAATCTTTCAGGAAAAATAAATAAATTACAAGTATGGCAGATTAAATAGCCTCTTTCGGGAAAAAGTATTCATTAGTAGAGAAATTGATGCATATATCTAACTAAATTTGCCATCTGAAAGCTGAGATTAATTGCCGGACACATAAAATCATTCCTAAGACATTTATTATAATCAAAGTAGCAATTATAAACAAAGATGCTGTTAAACTATGGGGTTTATTCACTAAACAGTAAATATTAATGACTTTAAAAACAAAATTGAAGAATTTAGGCTACATTTTATTAATCAATTTAATTAGTACAGTTTTTATAAACTTAAAAAAATATTGCCTTTATGTTCACAAATGTAAAAAAATGTTAATGCCTGCTCTTCTAACCTTCTATTGCTAACACAATTTACATACCTAAATGTAAAAATGTGTACAGGTGTTTTAAATATTTTTAAGTATGTGTTTCTCATATCACTGTATACATTAATTAAAAAAAATAAAGTGGGCTCAGATCTCTGTTTCACAAAATAAGAGACCGCTTTGACAATACAATTTTATGACAGAAAGCTTTTATGACCGATGAAGAGATTCTGGCTTCCTATCTTAAAGTGATCAGAAACGGTGATTGTTGGGTTGACTCGAGCTGAACACATCCATAATAAAAGAAAAATGGGGCAATAATAATTAGATGAGACAATAACATCTTTATTCTCTACACCGATGTATACAGGAGGGTAAGGAAAGTCAAGCATCTAGAGATATCCTTCATATGCGCTCTTATGATTGTGTCGAGGTAGCCTACTGGAAATGCTTAGCCCACGCTCCAAAATGACAGCAGATATCACGCATTATTCATAATTCTCATTATTACTAGTCAAAAGCTGTCTTCCACTCAATATAAAGTTAAACCTCTCTTGGAGTTCTAATTTGTTGAACCAGGAAAAGCTTTGTTGTCTACTGTGCAGTTCAGAGATGAGGGCTAATGGATATTTGTTGTCCATAATGAATGTGGGCTAGCTTGGAATCTTTTATTCTTCATTAAGATAATTCCTGCTGTATTTAGGGATGAGGGAGGTTGTTAGCTAAAGACCATTTTCAGGTTCTCTGAGATCATCATTTTTTTCAGGGGCTGATGAAGGAAATGTTCAATCCATGCCCAGAGATGTCTCAGACAGCAGATCAGAGGTACAATGAAATCATCAGCCCTCTTGCTTTGAGTAAAGTCACATGGATTTTGAAAATCTATATTTTTGCTAAAGTTGCTAAGGAACTCTAAGACACTCATTCTGACATAATTACAGTGCCGTCCATGATGCAATGTATCCTAACAAAATGTACAGGTCACGTGGCAGAAAAACAGACCCAAAACATTAAAGAGCCACCACCATATTTTGCTGTGGGTATGAAATACTTTTCCATATGGCTACCCCTGTGTGTGCCATAGCCACCTCTGGTGTTTATTGCCAAAAAGCTCTATTTTGGTTTTATTTGGCTATAGAACCTAATCAGGTTTGAAGTTCCAGTTGTGTCTGGCAAACTAAACATGCTTTAATTTGTTTTTATGAGTGTAGAGGCTTTTTGCTTAAAAACCTTTCAATCAACTTGTGGTGATGTAGATGACATCATCTTGTAGTTTTGGAGACTTTATGATCCCAAGTTGCAACTAACTTCTGCAATTCTCCCGCTATGATCCCTGGAGACTTTTTGGCCACTTGAACCATCCTTTTCACAGGGCGTTGACACACTATACACACACATCCTCTGCCAGGTGGATTCATAACATTTCCAGTTGACTGGAACGTCATAATGATTGCCCTGATAGTGGAAATGGCCAATTTAAATGCTTTTGCCATTTTCTTATAGACACTTTGCCTTTTTGCCTTTGGTCTTACCCATTGTGATGAATAACTAAGGGCCAATGTGTTGCCTCATAATTATACCCATGTGAAACAGGAAGTCAGGGTTAAACAATTTCCTGTTCCTAGCCACCCTGGTTGACTGAAAATTTAAAACATTAATGGGAATATACTTAAAATATATTTTACTCATATGAATTCATAGGGGCAACAATAGTTGTGCCACACATACATTTCACAAAGACAAAACAGACCATATACTTAGTGCCACTGCTAGATGATCTGGTTGACTCAGTACAGGCACGTATATGCTATGATTCTTTTTAGAAAAGCACAGAAAGAGCTTGCCACATTCTTCCATATACTCATATAGATTTGTGTATATGATATTCTTTAAGGCTTACACAGGTAAATAAACTTAGGCCCACATTATAATCTAGCAGTGGTAACTATCTGGTAATGTTTTCTGTCTTTTGGCCAGTATTTTGCAACAGTTATCAAAGCAATCACAACCCAGATTTCGTAAACCTGTAATCTGCCAGTAATGCATGCCAAGTCTGTACCCAAACTGTGATCAAATTGTTAGGCCAATGGCACAAGGTTAATGTAAAAAAAAAAAATATTGGCACCTTTTGTGAAGCAGAAATTGCTATGTTTTTCACTATCTTGTTATAGTGTAGATTACTTTCCTTTAGAAGAACTGTATTTGTCAAAATGTCTGGACTTACAGAAACGTAAGGATCCTTTTTCACAGATTTAATTATGGTGAATGACCTAAACCTGAAACAGTGGGATTGTAATTAACACTGGTTCATCAGCAGTTGTTAATGTTTCAATGAACTTTGAATACTAGATGGTGGTGATATGAAATAACAGCATTCACTTTCTGACTGATTGAAAAAGTCATAGAGTCGGTGACACGCATTTTGAGAGGCATCCTGTTGGTTTCACATCTTTGGTTTTAAGTCTGTATAATTTTGCAATAAAGCATCCCTTTGATAAAGCCTGTTGCTCTAGACAACCTAGCCCCAAGGAAATCTTATGTGAAGTATCTCAGCACTGCTATATCCTGAGCTCGTTATGTGCTCCACCTCATGTGAGTTATTCACTATTGTTTTACCTTATTTCATCTCTTTATTTGATAATCTACACTATTGGATAGCCTTGCATTTATTCGAGGATCTATACTATTGAGGTGTTGTGTAACTTTACTGACACTGGTGTTGTGTAACTTTACTGACACTGGTGTTGTGTAACTTTGCAGACACTGGTGGCTTTAATATCCAGAACCAGATTTGTTTGGCTCTAAATCATATGAGTGTGCACTTGCTGCATATTAATATTTATTTATTGTGAAAATAGATTACACTATGTTTTTCAATCTTTTGTTTGTTTTTGGGGTATATGCAATCATTGTTGCTCATATATGCAATAAGTAACCACACCTTTTTATACACAGACCACACTTTGACTGCATAGTATTCACTTTATAGCTATCAAATTCTAGAACATAGATGTTAATTGAATTGCCTGAGTAGCCAGTATATGCAAATCACCACCCATAAAATGTTAGCCATATTCCACTGCATTAAAATTATTCCTTATACGATATGAATCAATACATAAACAATACTAATATTAAATATATATTATCTGGGGGTTTTTTTGTTGGAAAAGGATGAAAGCTTAAAGGGACACTGGGGTGAAAGCTTAACCCCTTAAGGACACATGACATGTGTGACATGTCATGATTCCCTTTTATTCCAGAAGTTTGGTCCTTAAGGGGTTAAAGGGACACTGCAGGAGTATCACACCAAATATTATTATGAATAATATAAATTTTCCTTTAAAAAATAGACATTAAAAAACTGGAAATGACATTTCTTTTTTTTTTTTTTAAACTGCCCTACCCTACGTGCCCTTAATCTTACATAGTATGTGGCTAAGAAATCCTGTTTGTGGGGGTATATGCCTGTTAATTTCTAATGCAAGTTAGTGGATAGTCAATACAGTACAAAACATCACACAATATCTCTCTATTAATAAATTAACCCGCTCAGAAATGAAATGAATGAGAATGTAATGAAAGCTACTCAAGTAAAAGCACTATATTGTGCTGTTTCAGGAAAACATACAGTTATTCCATGCATTTTATACTATCCTGGATCAATTCCTCTAGGAAAAGCTGTAATACACTGTCTGAAAATATACATATTATATCTTATATTCTAATAGAGAAAAGTAGAAAAAATTTCCACTCATATTGAAGAATATATGAATACAGATTTAGAAACTAAAAGTACTATTAATGAAATAAACCAATGCTAAGACGATAAAAACATTTTTGAAAGAAGAGCTGGTTGCATGTTGTCTCTATCTCTTGCTCTTCCTCTCACTAAAATTTTCAATCTCTTCCTTCCCTCCAGCACATTTCCTTCACCCTTCAAGCATGCAACTATAAGCCCAACCTCGACCCCAACTCCCTATCCAACTACTGCTCTATGTCGCTACTGCCATTTGCCTCCATGATCCTTGAGAGAGTTGTATATGCGAGATTGACAGACTTCCTCGAATCAAACTCTCTGCTTGACCCGCTTCAATCTGGATTCTGTGCTCGTCACTCTGTTTAAACAGCTGTGTCCAAAGTATCTAACGATTTAATCGCTGCTTAATCTCACGGCCATCACTCTATCCTAATTCTCCTTGCTCTTTCTGCAGCCTTTGACACTGTTGATCATCAACAGCTTTTTCTCATTCTCCGTAATCTCAGGCTACGAAATGCTGCTCTCTTC